GGTTGCTGAAACTTATCTAAAAGACAGGATTATGTGCGCGAAACTCAGTGAAATATATATAAAGCTGGAGATAGAGATACGATCTTGAGTGGCGGAGATATAAACATCCTTGAGCTGGCTTTGATTGGATTTCTTGGCTGTTTTCTAGGGGTTTTTGTTGGATATTTCTTAGCTGATCCCACACCATGTGATCCCACAACCCACTCACATTTGGCACAAGGACAGCAGCCTTCTGAACTAGCTGCTAATTAACTGGCTAACCGGCTAACTGGCCTGACTCTTTGCCTTTTGCGTTGGTGGCGGGCTTTAAGGTCTCTAAGGGAGAGAGCTTGTATGTAATTCAATCAATGGTAAGACAACAACAGCAGCAGCAGCAACAGCAACATGCAACACCGGCAACCAGCTAAAGTCATTGACAATTGGGGCCAAGACATGAGACAAGGGAACAAAATAAAACAGCCGAGAAGACAGGCCGCGACCACTACAAGGGTCACCTAATCAATGGGTTGCAGCGATGTTGCAGCAACATGTTGCCGCCGTAACAGCAACTGCAATGCTTGTTGCAGTTGTCAATAGAGGCGATTTGAAACTGCTGCACTTTTCCCGAGTATGTGTTGTGTGTCACTTGACTGCAGCTCCGAAAACGAGTGGGTGTTGCTGTTGAGTAGCTGCTATTGCGTGTTGCTGCTGCTGCACCAAAGCAACAACTAGTGTCAAGTGAAGCGACAACGGCAACAGCAACATTTTACCGGCAGTTAATGAGCTTATTTATTGATAGCACAGACAGCACACAGCAGGTACAACTATTTATGACATATTTATGAAAAGGAAACTGAAATCAAAAGTTAAAAAAAAGAGAAAAAATATGAGAGGATAATATTTGAAATGTTTTTATTGATTTTCCTTAAACTCATTTAACACTAGGTTTAAAAAGGATAGGATAAACTAGAAATAAGCCTAAAATTAATACCAATAATTAAGCAACAAATCAATTTAAAGCTTCCAAAAATGACAAATAAAATAAATTAAATTCTTTTAAAATTAGCCTATAATACGATAATATAAGGAAAAATAGAAACAACAATATTAAATAGTCTTATGAAAGTTGAGATGAGTCCAAAATGAACACCAATAAAAAAAGGATAGTAAATGCAATAACATTTTCCAATTACAATCATTTAAATTAAATTTTAATTAAAGTAAGACAAAGAGAGGAAATGTAACTAATAGCAATATAAAATAGAGAAAGAGCCATCATCTCCTGACTTATTCTGAATCTTCCTTTTACGATCACTGGCGGCCCGACTGAAAATTGACAAGCGCTTTGTGACTTCACTCACGATTCCATTTGGCCAATGCCTGCCATTTAGCAATTTGGACGTTTATTTCTGTGGGCCATAAATCACAAAGCCGGACAAACGAAAGTAAAGTGTGCAATGTAATTACAAATTAAAGGCATTGGCAGCCAAATGGCCAAAATGGTTGCAGAAACAAAAAAAAACTATGTTGCAGCGGGGCACAAAAACTATTGGCGACATTGCGAGGCGATTTAATGAAAAGCGCGGCCATTGGGAAATGAATTTTGAAATTATATAAAATGACAAAAAATTAGAAAACGAGAGGGGCAAAAACAAATCAAAAACTGAAACGTTGAGAGGGAGTAAAAAGAAAATTAAAGTCACGGTTTTCGGCGTGTAAAGTGTGCGGCGATTGCAGCTGATGTTGCTGTTGTTGCTGCTGCTGTTGCAAGTGTCGCTGGCACATGCAACAACAACATCAGCGGCAGCAGCAACAACAATCAGCCAAAAACAGTAGAATGTAAATGTCTTTCTGGTCAGGATCGTTGTTATTTTGCGGCCGCTACAGTTGGTGCCACAAAATCCAAATTGCTTGGCAGCCATCGACAAAACAACAAAAGCAACGGGCCAGCAACCTGCAACTTGCAACTTGCTAGTTGCAACTGCCTCATCAATTGATTAAATTTGCAACTGCACACAGATCGTCGTCGATGCCTTTCACTTAAGAGTGCACGATTTTTATTTATTTAGATTTAGATTTAATTTCAGCTCAGCTCAGCCCGTTGCCATCTCTCTTTTTCTTCTTTAATTTGTTCACCCAGGAAACATATCATTAAAAATGGTCATAAAGGGAAAATAAATGTATTATTTATACATCAGCATTTTTTAGAATTTATAAGTTCTTAAAATGCGGAATATTTCTTATAGAAAGTACATATAAAAATAATAATAATTATTCACTTGTTACATCCTCTGTTTTCCAGCTAAAATTAAATATTTAAAGTGTTTTAATGGGGTAAATATGATAAGAAGATAGGGAAAATGTATTTAAACTGACTTTTGGCATTTGATTTTCCAATTATTACAAACTTTGTTTTCCAAGGAATATTAAATATTTAAGATTTTTCCAATGGCATAATGATGTGGTGATTTGCTTTTCCCGTGAAATACTTCAAAAGTTCCCCTCATATTCCGATTTTCTGCAAAACGCATCTGAACGCAATTGAAATGTTTGGTTTAACGCTGCGGAAAATCTACAAACAATAAGCATGTTTTGTTTTTGGCCAAAAATGGCCTGAGCTTGGAGTTTGGGTTGCCAGGAGCATAGAGCATACAGCCAGAGATAAAATCTAACCGGCATTTGTTGGCCGCCTGGCCACCAACAAAGTCGTCGCCATTGTTGGCAAACGGCAGTCAGGTGTTGCTTTTATTGTTTTACAATCACCACTGAAGACAACAGAAACCACGGAGCCGCCAACCACCAACAAAGGAGTCAAGACAAGACAAGAGGAGCCTCCTCATCGATATTGGCCAACTTTCACAAACAAATCTCGGCGCAAAGTCGAGCCATAAAAGCCACAACACAATTCAAATAAAATGAAAATAGAATCAAATAAACTTTTCTCTGCCAGGCCGGCCGAGCGAACAAAAGGCCACAGTGAAAAATGTATACATATAAATAAGCCAAGAGAAAAACACTGCAAACTGCAAACTGCAAGTCGGGTCATAAAGAAAGCCCAGGGACAAACGGGCGACTTCCACGGAGTCGCGAACCTGGCCAACAGGCCAAATGCAAATTTCTCGAGCCTCCCAAAAAAATAAAATAAAAACCAAAATAAAGGCAGGCTGACCCAAAACAATGGACAGCACTGTAAGGCACATCGATGCTGAAGTGTTAACCGATTGTCCAGATACGCGAGGATTGATAGTGCTCGAGAAAATGTCCGCAGGACAACTGATAGCTGATAGGCCAGCTGATATTTCCGAAAGGATTGGATCTCTTCATTACCCTTCGATCCCTGGGTGTTTATTGCATTTCTTTCTTTCTTTAGTAATTTTTCCTGGTTTTCCCACACACACGTGAACCTGGCTAATTGGCTGTTGGAAAGCTGTCTAAATCTTTTCGCCGTCTGCCCCATTTCGAGAACCTGCAACGTGCTCCCCCAACAGCCAGAACATCATCTCTAACTGCCCATCAAATAAATCAGCAGCAAGACGCACATGCAAACACGTCGGCACTTACACTAAAAGAAAATTGAGTTGCTAGAAGATAAGAAAATATCTTAAAAATCTAAGCGGTCAGTAATAAAAAAAACAAAAAGAATTTCATATTTTTTAAGAGTGTTCAATAATTTAAAATTTTTAAGTTAAAAATCAAAATTATATTTCTAGCCACCAACTTTAAAGAATATTCTAAAATATTCCATAAATTGCCTTTCTGTTCCAAAAAATATCACAACTAATGTAATCTATCTACTAAATTTATAACACAAAAATTAAAATATTATTAAAAATTTAAATATATAAATTTAAAATTCTTAAACTAAAACTAAATTTTCTTTTCGGCTTTAAACCCATCTTTTGGCCATAATAAAAATAATGAATAAATAGTTAAATTTTACATAAAATACCAAATCAAAATGCTTATAGCTAAATCTACAAGAAGAAAAATTTTCCTCAGTGTAGCCATATATCGTCGCAGCAGTCGACCGGCACCAGTTGACGGTGTCCAATTTGCTTTTTTGGCCATCTCAGTTATCAGAGTGCGCGTTTTAATGAGTTCGAGTACGTTTTATGAGCGAAAAACTCTTGAGAAATCGGAGGAACCACAAACGCACCAAAGTGGAATGCACACAAAAATCTTAGAATCTCGCCGCGGCGATAAAACTTTCGCGAGTAAAGAGGCCCAGTCGAAAAAAAAAAAAAAAATAAAAAGGCAAAAGGCACTCGACTCAACTCAAAAGATCTCCAGAGCTCATCATAATCAACTGGGATGGCGATGGTATGATGGTCTTATGATGATTGTGATTGGTGTCGCCTCACCTGGGGCCCTTCACCTCCTCGCAAACGCCGCTCACCTGGATTTTTTCTGGTCTGGCACGTACGCAAGATGCGAAGATACAGCGAGATATAAACAAAACCACCGGAGGTACGTGGCATGTGAAATATGTGCAGAATGGCTGAGGAAAACGCCGTGGAATCCATGAATGAATGTCATGTGTTCTGGCTAAAACGGAATTTGAATGAAAAGGGGGGAAGGAAATTCTCACAAAAGCTTAAGCGGATTTGCTGGAAATTCTGTGGGAAATGGAAAAAGGCCACAGCTCGACAAAAGTAGACAAGAGGTTTACGCAGGGTTTTGAACAGTTTGCAAAGCATAATTTTAGGCATTTCAAAATTTTTAAATGGCTCTTTTGATTTTCTATTTGCTTTTTACAACTGGACAACTTATTTTAAAAAAAAACTTACATAAAAGTAAACAAAATAAATGAATTTAATAAAAAAATTATTAAATTAATAAAATATTTGGTAAGTAAAATATTAAATAATTGAAATATTAAATAGAAAATTAATAAAATATATTATAAATAAAATAATATTATTTACATTCAACAACTTAGTTGGCACTAGCTTGTTAAATCAAAAAATGTTAAATTCAATAATTATTAAAATCTTCTCAACAGCAAGCATAGAACATTCAATATCAAAACAAATATATTTTTAAATACCCATTCAAAGGTACCAAATTTCCAAAGATGTCGACCACTTCTTCACAATTAGAAGAACCAAAATATATTGAACTAAGGACCAACGATGGCGTGATTCATACAGTGAACACTCGCTTGGCCCTACAGATGGGACCCATTCGTGATTTGATAATGCTGGAGAAAGAGAAGAAGGTTAACGCGATTGATGCTATTCCATTGGCCAGAGTCGATGCCAAAAACATGCGATTTATAATCAAGTGGTCAGCAGCGATTCAACGTCTTAGAGGAAATGTAGAGCTTAAGCGTAAAACGATTCTTAAACAACTTCTTAGCGAAGAGGATGCCGACTATGGGTTCCTTTTGCAACTCATCCTGGCCTCAAACTATCTGCAGCTGGAGAATTTGCTGAAGGCTTCGACTAATCTCCTGGCAGATTCCATCGAGGCATGCGAAAGTGTCCAGGAGATTTGTAAACGTTTCAACGTACCAACCGACTCATTATAAAGGTTCCAAAAAGCATTCAGTATTATTAAGGAGATCGTAGTTACTTCAGCCCGGAAACCGATCTTTATAAATTTATAAGTGTAATATATCATAAATCCAATTTGTTCGTAAGTATTTAAATTATTGTTACATTATCACTTGTTACTTTCAATTTTTTTTCCAGAAGATCTCTTGTTCATTTTGTCACCAGTTGAAAAAGCCTTAGAAATCTAAAAAATGCATTTTTGTATGTAAAACAATTTTTATAAAATCTTGCTATTTCTGACCAGACAATCAGCCGCTGCAATAAAGAAAATAACATTCTAATTGAATTTTTTGTAGAAAAAACACAATATTTTTTGTAAGTAATTAAATCTTTATTAAATCTCAATTTGTCGGTGATTATTATTCAATATTTTTCTGGTTTTTCTGTTGTTCGTGATCTCTGTTTTTCTGTTATTTGCCAAAACTCTCGCTACGCTTATTCCGCTACTTTACTTAACTTCTTTACTCGTACTTAACCCTTTTCGCATTTGCAAATTGTCACAACTTTTACTGTGGTTTTCTTTTTTCTTTTTCATACTTCTTGGCCTTGACCCAAAATCTCTCATTTCTCCAATCGCTTCATGGTGTTCTTAGTTATTGCTATAGATCTTTTTTATTTTTTACTCGTTTGTTTTATTTTTGTTTCTGCAACTGCAGAAATTGGCAAAGATGTGTCGAAAAATAGGGAGTTAGGAAGAACCAATGGCAGAAGAACGAAAACTGGTGGGGATCGAGGAGGAAAGGCCCTGCTGTAATACGAAAGTCGGTTCTAGATAGCTCGCAATCGCATATCGCATTTGCTCGGGGGAGTTCGAAGGGGTCGAAACCGACAACGACAACGACGACTACGACGACGCCTCTGGCTCTTCTGCTCTAATTCTTGTGTATCGTACACTATAAATCGCTCCATAGAAAAAGTGTAAACTATGCTATCCCATATTGATAGAGTTGTATAGCTTCGGCTGCTCGCTCATCTCATATAAATAGGTGTATACATAAATGAATATATACATACATATATTCTGCCTTTTGTATAGTCATTAAATATGTATAATTTATTTTTGTTTTTATATATATTTGTTTATATGTATATATGCAATTTATATTGCTTAACTTTGACAATGCAACGCTTTGAAGCAAGAGGCAGACATAGAGAGAGATTCAGATTCAGATTCGGATTGAAACGAAGGACTGCCTGCTATATGTGGTTTCGATCCAGAAACCGAAGAAACATTACAAGTCCCTTGGCTCGATTCGGCTAGAAGTATGAAACTTGCAAAGGAAGCGCCACTGTATTACATTAAACTAATGTCCGCGGGTTGTTTATCCCTTAATCGGGGTGTTTTCGAAATAAGTTGCTTCGTTTAATTTATATGCTGTGTCTGCATCTGTATCTGTATCTTACTAAGTGTCCTTTGAAACGGAGTTCATTACGTTACGCTTTAGTTTTAGTTTTAGTTTAACTTTAGTTTTAGTTTTACATTTACTTTACGTCTTTTAAGTTTAAATATTCACGAGCACGCGCGAGCATTTCAATTTGCATTTGCCTCAAAATTTACAATTTTCTGGTTTTTGTTTTTTTTTTTTTTTGGGAATTTTTCCATATTTTCTTCTTGGTTAAGTTTACTATGTGGAATGCTTGAGTAAAAGTTTCAGTTTCGCTTTTCCCTGCTTTTACAAAATAAATATTCATCGTGATGTTGTTCCATCTGGTTCCGAACTCTGTACTCTGTCTCTAAAAAGTTTTAGGTTACGTGACTTACGTCTTAAGTTGTAATTTTTTGTTCTTTTTACTGGTTCTCCTCGCTAAAAAACTTCATTCTGGGTCCAACTTGCTTCAGTTTATTTTTCCTGATATTTTGTTGCCATTTATTATTAGGGGTTTTCCTATACTTTTACTTTCTCCTTCAGCTTGAGCATTCTTTTGTCTGCTTTTTGGGTTACCTTCCTATCTCTCCACGATAAGTTTTGGATTTGCAAATTTTCTTTGGCGATATGTATGTACATGTTAGAAGACAATCGAGAACGGAACTTAAGAAACTCAGGCTGAAAAATATATATAAAACGAAAACAACAAAATTATCTTTCGTAAACATGTCTTTCGAAAAATTAGAATTTATTTTTCCGTATTATCGTATATGTGGTAGTTCTAAGTTTAATGTGTTGTTTTTGTTTACGTTTAAGCTTTTTACAATAATAATAATTATAAATGTAAAACATAATTTTTCGTTTAGAATTTTATTTTGTTTGTATTTGTTTTGTTTTTTTTTGTATTGTTTTAGTTGGCTTAATTCAAAAATTAAAAATGTATGGAAAGCAACGGTAAGTGTAAATTAATGTCTAAGCTTTAATGAATTGTTCTCAGCCATTTTTGTTTGCTTTAATGTAATTATTTAATTGAATATCATTTAGTGTTTCTCCTTGTTGTTGTTGTTTAATAGTTTAATTTAATTTTATATAATATAATACATAATTGCCTTGACTCAAGAAAGCGACTTAACATTTCTACAAAAGACGAATTGATATTTTGATTTGCGTTGTGAAATTGGCTTGAATATCGAAAGAATTTTATTTACACACAATTAACAAATAAAGAGGGCGAAACAAAGAACTTAAAATTAGAAAACCGAGCGGCACTCTCGCTATGATCAACAGAAACCTAAAATTATTAATTATTATGTTCTTGAATGTGGCCTTTCTTTCTGCTTCATTTTCCTCGCATTTTCACGCTCCTTCCTCTCTTTTTTTGTGTATTTTTTATTTTTTATTTTATCCGCATTTCTATGCCGGGTTTTGAAAGTTTTCTGTTTTTTTTTTCTTAGTTTGCTGGCTTAATTTTTTGCTTTTAAACATTTGTTGACAATTTGATGCTGCATAAAATACAATTGTTGCTTGGGTTGCTGTTGTAATTTGCTGGAAAGTTGCTGCCATTGCAATCGTCATGGCCTATGGAATCTGCAAGAGAAAGTTTTGATTAGTTTTTGTTTTAGCCTCTCGGTAGCCTAGCTTGGAAATAGAATTAAATGCGCCTGAAGTTTAAATGGCGTATGGCAGGTCGCTTGGCTCTTTAAGGATAAAGTCCAAGCGCACAAAATCCAAAAGCCATTATCCACTGCCCCCTGAAAAACACAAAAAACCCTCTAACAAAAACTGCAATGGAAATAGAAATGGAAAAACGTGGCCGCCACCGAATCCTTTGTGACTGCTGCATATCGCCAAAATACATTTGTAAGGGACTCGACTCGACTCGACTCGGTGACTGGTGGCCAAAACTGCACGTGACACTTCACTGGCCATTGGCATTGGCAATTTTTTGCTTGGCTCACTTTTTGGCCATTCGATTTGGCCGCAAGGACACGCCCGCTACATAATTCAGGGGCCTGTACACTGGTACACTGGGATGTCTCAATTGCGAGATTGCTTTGGCCCCTGAAACTACCGCCCACTTAGCCCACCGACAACCGACGACCTCACCCACCACCCACGGGAGCAATTTGCAAAACCAGTTACACACAGTTGACTGTCCTTGCCCACGGAAGCGCGAAATACCCTGGCCCGTCAATTACACCAGCAGAGTTTAATTATTTGAAAAGCCAATTGAGTGTTTAACACCAAGAGTGCTATTTAAATTAGCAAATAGTCTAAAAATCGATTAAAAAAGCGCAATGGGCCTTGGGACACTTTTAACAGTGTCATAACGCCATTTCAATAAAAAGAAAATAAATTTTAAAAGGGTCTTGCCTATTTTTAAAGCTGTCATTCGGTTTATGCTAGCTTTTGTCCATAAATTTAAATACAAGTCTAGTCTAGAAAATTGCTTTAACTAAATTCTTAACTATTTCCCCCAGAATCGCCATGATTTCCCCTAAATTCCTCAAGGCTTCTCTACAACCATACCTCGTCAAATGCCGACTGCCCTCGTGGACGGCCATTTCGGAGGACTTGAACTCGTTCAGCTCCTTGCGAATGGCGGCCTTGTCCTTCGGCGTCAGTCTTGTCCACGGCTTGTCCGCCCTGCGATCGTAATCGTGGGCCTGCGTGACCTCGATGTAGTCGTTGAACCGGATGATCTTCTTCTCCTTCAGCTCCTCGACGGTCGGTCGAAAGCTGAGTTTGCGCAACAGATACGATTTCTTCTCCTCCTTCTGCTTCTTCTCCTCGGCGGGTGATTGAGCTGCACAAAACCAAGAGAATGACATTAATAAAATTCAATATTTGACATAAATCTAAGGGTCAATGCCAACTAAAATCAAGAACTAACTAAGATGCCTGGGAAATTTATGCTAGTGAAGTTTGTATAATGCATTTTCTAGCCATATGTGCAAAGGCATTTTGGAAATGTATTATTGGGACATAAATTAACAAAACTCATATACATTCAAATAATTATTAAAATATTCGGTGCATAATATTTGTGATCTCCTACCATTATCATCCTTTTCAAAATATTTGAAAATATGTATTTTAAAAATACGTTTATAATAACCTAATTAATAAAACAAGAAATTGATTGTATAAATAAAAGGGAGTTAATAACCTAGTTAAATAAATGAAAGTAATAATGAATAAATGAAAAATTTTGGTACTTGATTTCTGATTTCTATATAAAATTCTTGATTTAAGAAAGCCTTTCCCCCCGTGATGTATGATATCTACTCACTTTTCAAGATGTTGCGCTCGACCAGCTCCTCGGCCGTGGGTCGCATCGACAGCCGGCGGATGAGACGGGCTCCGATCGCCTCCTTGGACTCCTTGAGCTCGTTGTCGTTGACCTGGTGCAGGATGTTGCGGTTGATCAGGTCCTGCTTGTCCGGCCGCAGTTGCAGTTTGAGGGACAGGGACTCCTTCCTGGCCAGTTTGGCCAGCCGGGTGTTGTCGTTATCCTCGTCCCTGTAGACAATATGGCCATCACTGTCGTCACTATCGCTGCTGCTTTCGCGTATCACAAAGGGCCGGGCATTCTCCTTGTTCTCCACGGTGCACGGCAATTGGATGTTGAACATTTGCTGCCTGCTGTGGGTTAAGCATCAAAGAAGGCGTCATATTAGACCATATTAGCATTATGTCATTAGCAGACGCATTAAACACTACGAAACAAACACACATCGCACAAAGCAAAACCACAAACAGTAACTACTGGCAACTACAGACGACAGACCATGCATTTCAGTCGCAGTCTCAGTCCTTCCTCCTCTGAGTCCTCCTCTCAGCCTTCACTTCTCTCCTTCCGCAATCTTGGCCAGGCAATCTGCCAGATTTAGCCAGCTTCTGGCACTCACATGTGCATAAATATCCCTCCTGCATGTGTTAAATTTATTCATCCACGTGCACACAGTTCTAGGTCTT